TTCTTAGGAAGGTGACACCACCTGCTGCCAGCCTGCAGAGCTGCTGCTTCTCTTCCTGTCGCTACAACCATCTGTCACTAAAATTCCAGCAGAAAATGCCAGACAAAGCATCATGAGCTCTGCTTTCTCCCATAATATTGCCAAGTAGGCAACATCCACAAAGCATCCTGTTTAATTTCCCTTCAAGGCCTACTGGCTCTGGGGAATCATTGGTTAAGGAAACAACGAATTTATTGTTCTGACACCTAATACAATGGTAGCTCAGTCTATTGGCTCTGGGATGAATGTCCCTGGTTAAGGATACTAAGTATTTGTTCTTCTGATACCCAATGCAATGGTAGCTTTGTTTAGAGTTGGCTTTTGACAATAGTAAAAAAAAAAAACAGTACTGGCCAGAGAAATGATCATTGCGTGCTGACCAGTAAGTTCTACTTTCAGTTTCAGAACTTCTAGCTAAAATTGCTTTAAAAGGACCACCATCTCTTTTTTGCTTTGTTAAAAGTTACTGGGACAGCCCTAAAACATAGCTTCAAATCATCTGATTGCTTCCTGCAGGATTGTAACCTCTGCGGCTGGAGCTTATTGGCATGAAGGTGACAGTGACACAGAAAGGGAGATGCAAACATTGAATTTTAATGGGTTTCTTGGAAAAGAATGCAGGGTTTAGGTAATCTGCCAATAAAACCCACTCAGAAAAATAGGATTAAGATACCTATCTGCAGGGTGGCATGTTTTGGTTTGTTTTTCAACGAATCAAGCAATTGTTTTAGTTTTAGACTCAAAGCTGTCCCTGCTTTGCATTTTTCATCTTGACATGAGTCATTACAAAAATGCAGAGTTCACCCACATGTTGGTGTTTGATGAGATCTAGTATGTGGTGAAGAACAAGAAAAAGAGTTTTATGTTTTTCTGTATTGTGGGAATTTTCCCATTCCATGACTATGAGCAGAGTGTGAATGTCTGTATTATGAAAGATACAATTTTACATGGGGAGAATATATTTAAATGAATTCCAGTGAAACCAGAAGGAATCACAGTTTGGGTATGAATATAATACATGTGCAAAGAAACAGAAGACCTGCTCATGCTTCACCTCAGTTATTTCTCGGGGAGAGCCCTCAGGGTCCCTGGCACTCCCTCAAATACGGACTTCAAAAAAAACCCCTCCGCCTGCAGCAGAGCCAAGTGAAGCTGAGTGCAGCATCTACTGGGAACTGCAGGCACTGCTCCAGAAGAAGCATGACTATTAAGTTTTGAGAAGCTTTGAAGATGTATTGTGTTTGCGATCCTCATTAGCTCAACATCCCACTTCTAAATAGGAATTTTTGTATATATGGACAACATCGATGCATTATTTAGCTAAGGGAAAGTACAGTGTAAAGACAGCTTTCCTCCTAGGCAGTTAAAATGTTTGTGTGTGTGCCGGAGCATTCAGACCTGGAAATATCATGCAACTTAATGGGTACTGGAACCCTTTATTCTCTCTAGCATTTGTCTGACTCTGCTAGCAATAAGGGGAAAAAAAAAAAAAAAGAAAAAGTTCCATGCTCTTGGTATATTCTGAAGCTGTTCAAAGGCCAAGTTTTGCTATGTAAGGTCCGTTCCAAAGTCTCTGTATGTTACAACAGTATTTCTTCCTGCTCAGGCCCCATTTACCTATACCTGTGCATCTTCAGAAGATGTTTGTCCACTTTTGGATGCTCACCCACTCTGCCCTGCAATGTGGGTAACAGAAAGGCTTTACATGAGTGCAGCAATCATTCAGAGTTCCGTGGTTTGTGTTTTACAGGAATAAGAAGGACCCACGGGGAAGCGTTTCTTGTCTCAGGCTGTTATTCTCTGAAGGAAAACTATTTTGGTTTGGTCCCAATATTGAGGGAAAGGATCCCTATAGAAGCTCACATTGTAAAAACTGAAATAAATCTGTTGGGAGTTTTATGTAGCCTAAAAAAAAACTCTGCATGGAGCTGGCAAAGAACATTTCAGAGAAATAAAAGCAATCCATTAACAATAGCAGAGAAAGGTTTCACTTAACTGATTTCCCCTTGGGAGTTGAGCTCCTACTCCTTATCTCTGAAGGCAATTCAAGGCTATCAAAACGTCTGCAGCTGAAACTGAATTAAGAGACAGGAGCTGAGAGCATTGTCAGCACCTGCAGAAGCCATCCTCATCTATACGTCCTGTACACACACATGCCTCTTGTTGCTCCAGCCACTCAGAACAAGTGCAAGGTACACCCCAGGTGGCTATTCCTCCCTTTGCAGGAAGCCAAACTGTAACTACAAGCATGCAGTGGGGATTTCCCCAGGTTCTGCAGCAGCCTTGGCTTCTTCCATCATTTCAGACTGACCTTCCCAAGCTGCATATTTCTACAAGAAATGCAGAAGCCACCCAGCATAACTGTCTGTGAGGGCCAGTAAAGAGCACATCCATGCAGCTTATAGCAGTGGCACCATGTGTCCGTGCCTAGGGAACCACAAGGGTGCCACACTAGTGCTGATTGTGTTCTGCCTTTGATAGCCATCAACTGCTCCTACACTCCCTCAGAGCAGCACCATCCAGGACTCTCCTACAAATGCCTTCACACAGATACTTTGTACGCTTCCTTGACCATTAAAACCTATCAGCCATGAGATGCATGCAGATTTGTAACTTCAATTCAGCCACACAAATACCAAAACAGTGGTGAGCGCATATGTACCTGTCACAGATGCAATCAGCCCCTGGTTATTCTTGTTGATTTCCAGGTACCACCCTCTCTATCAGCTCCTTCTCAAGCTTCTGCAGTGTATTTTATAATCCAGAGTGGAGGTCCAGGTCATTCCGGGCCTTAGGAGGCAGCACGGAAAGGACTATGTCTCTTTGACCATCTCTGGCCCAGCAGCTCCTTAGGTGGTTAAGGCTGCTCTCAGATGTTTCAGAGATGTGAACTGGTGTTTTCTTCAGGTTCCCCTTTCTCATTCTGCTACTGCAACTCATGCAACTGTGTAACGCTTATAAAGCCTCAGAGCTGCTATAGGTAGGCAATATTCCACCAAGACATGTACTTGGCAGAGGACACGGCGCACAGCAGCTATCAGAACCTCATCCAGACCACAGCTGCTCCACAGGGGTCCTACGGCTTGGACACTGTTTCCCTACAGCACTGTGAGAACAACCTTTTCACCAGCCTTTCTGGGCAAACGCTGGCATGACCAAGCCACTTAAGACAAGAAAGGGTTTAACAGACTGCTTTCAGCAGAAGAATCAGTTCCTCGGTGTCATGAATAAGTAACGCTGTGGACCAGAACAGCAACTACAGATTTGTTCCTTGAAGACATGCAGCTCCCGTTCCTCTCAAGAAGGTATTTTCTGTTTAGCAAGGATTGAAGCAGCGTTCCATGGCAACCTACAAGAGAATCTTCAAGAGAACTCGGGACATGGGTCAATGCTGCAGACATCAGTAGTTTATTGGTATGTTCAGTCAAAACACATTCAGAATGGAAACTTAAAAATACTTTCCACCTGCAACAATTAAACTAGAATCTACGAGCATATAGTGCTTGACACATTACAGCAAAAAGGATGGTAATCCACTGTTGTAGAACTATGAAGCCAGAATGGTCAGCCAAGTTGGTCAAAATAGAACCGTAATGACAAAACACTCCCACTACCCACAAACCAGCAACAAACAGCAACGGTCAGCAAATCCCTTCCTTTGCTCAATGAGGTACATTTACTAAGAGGGTCAAGAACACGTAAGAGTCCAGCGATGAACAGTTACCATGTAAACTTCTCCAGATGATGTTCCAATCATTCTCATGTCACTTATGCAAGAAGCAAGCCAGAAAATGGAATGGCTTTTAATGCTCCTTTTTGTTGTCGTTCAGATTATCCCCAGTGCTCTTTGCCATACAAATGAAACAGGTGGTAACAAAATGCCATTCCATTATAAAAGGAAAAAAAAAAAAATAAAAAAAAAAAAAAAAGAAGAAAAAAATCCCTACACAAAACACAGCATTGACAAACTGCTAATTGAAGGCAGCAATTTGTCCAAAGGCTTCGAACACAAGTAGAGCTGTGTGTTGAACAGTTCAAGTACTACAGGTTTCCAGGTAACAGCTGAACATGTGAAAGACTTTCAATGAAAAACTGAAACATAAAAAAAAAAGGAGACAAGAAGAAACGTCCTTCAGAAAAAAAATGTTTATGAACACAGTGCAAGACTTATCATCATGCACAGAAGACCCTGCCTCTGGGAGAAAACAGATGCCTCTTCACTTTGCCAGATGTAGAAGTAAAATATGTGCAAAATCTCCCAGCTGACTTGAAAACAGCAAGGGAATGCATAATCCAGGGACAGACTAATGCTATGTCCTGCCTGCTTTTGCTTCAGATTGCTGTTTTTTGAGGTCTTCCATGTTTAGAAGCAGCTTTAAGCGGTCACACTGTCACACAGACTCACATCAAACACACACCCCTCTTTCACTCTGATGCACCGGAGCTTAGTGCTCACTGCCCGCCCCAGCACCAAGCCCAAACACACTGCCTGCTGCAGCTGATGGGAACGTGCTCCAGAATGCCATCCAGAAACAGACCTCTCAACCTGGAAAACTCACACTTGAAACTGAAGACGACGACGTCTCTTTCCTATCATTTAGTCCAGAGCCATGGTGTCCACTTCAGCTAAGAGTTACGTGCAAAACGAGTTTTAAAAAAAGCGCAACTGAAAAATGCAAATAGTCAAGAGCTGCTGTGTTGTTCTCTGAAAATTGCAGTATCCACATTGATATGCTCACCAGCACAAGGGACACTCAGTTCTACTGATCACGAGCTGGCCAAAAGTGTTCATCGTTCCAAACTGGCTTCTGAAACATCCCAGAGAGATCTCGCTCCGTTTTCCTTAAGTTTGACAATGATTAAAGAGAAGAGACAACCTGGAGACTATTAGATGCCTTCTTCCTCCCTTCCCCCCCGCTGCAAAAGAACAGACGAACTTGTTAATTGAAGAGCAAGGTGGATGATAATTTCAGCAACGTTTACTGATTGACAGATACTGCAATTTTTAATACATTTTTTCCGTGATTTTTTTCAGATGCGTTGCAGCCAATTGGCTTTGCAGGACAGTAGTTCATACACTACACTGTACAAAATCACCAGCAAGACTGGAATGATGTATTCATAGAAGGCACCATCATGCTTGTTACATTACCAGAGAACTCAAATACAGTCAAGACAATTTTCACCGTACAATGCTTATCGAAGGGGAGAGGGGAAGGAGGAGTGTGTTGAGCAGCCATCCCTGTATGAAGAGGGGCAGATAGAAAAATCTGACGTGAGCTATCAAACTCATTAAGGACTCAGGACTACGGCTTCGAAACTCTAGGTTCTGTTTAGTTAACGGCTAAATGGATTCCTTCTGGAATGAACTCATAGTCTTGTTAAGGTTTGTGTGTGTGCATATGTTGGTCACAGCAAGCAGGTTGGACGCCCGCACCATTTCACAAGCTATTCTGTCTGAGTAAGAGAAAGAAGGGTTTTTTCCTCCGATGCCTCCTGCAGATGTCAATACACGAGTTCAAAGTACCCAGTAGTGCATTTTGATGAGTGTGTAAACAAGAGTTTGTTTGGAGCCAAGTGTTCTAAAAAAAACAAAAGAAAACAAAAAGGCAAGCTTCTCCGATTGCACAAATTGCACTGTGTTTCCAACAGTAACAGGCAGAAACAGTAACACTTACACAAAATGTGCAGCAGAGGGCTTTGACTGTAAGGACCTGAATTTTATTGGGCATGTCCTTCAGTTCACTTTTGTTGCAGACAGTTTACTGTTTTGTTGTTTCTGTTGTTGTTTTTTTTTTTTTTTAATCTTTCCAGTCCTCAATTCTCCAAGTCAACATTTATAAATTAACAGTGTGACTTCTGTTGTGAAACTGGGGAAAGAACGTCCACTTTAATTTAAACCGGAAACCAAAGGATGCTTTCACATCAAAGAAATGATCAGAAGGGCGGTGTCACATTCCAAAGCCAAAAGAAATGAACAAGAATGCAAACACGATGGATGATGTACCACTGCCAGGACCGTCTGCCTGCGGTGGAGTTCAGCGACGCTGTCCCGTGAAGCGCCCTTCCATCTGCCCACTGCCTCGTCCAGAGCCGAGCTTCTGCGCCATGCCTCCCCTTGGAGGGGGTCCTCGGCCGTCGCGGTCGCGCATCATGCCACCACCCACTATTCCACGGGGACCCCCGGGGCCTCTATCATTGCGCCGAATATCCCTACGGTCATCACCTCCGCCTCGGGTCTCTCTCTCACGAGCAGCTCTTGTTTTTTTCTCTTCTACGTTCAAGCGCACCTCACCCCGGAACATAATGGGCTTACAGGGAAAATATTCAAGGCACACATTAGTCACCAGTTCACAGCATCCATTTATACAACGAACAGAAAACACCACATTCACTGCATGCCTCTGGCTACCCTTACATGTCGGACAGAAAAACTAACTTTCCTGCAACACATAACCTCAGCCCTAAATGTCACTAAAATGATCAGAGGGCTGGAGCACCTCTCCTACGAAAAAAGACTGAGGGAACCGGACTTTTTTTAGCTTGGAGAAGAGAAGGCTCCAGGAAGACCTCACTGTGACCTTCCAATATTTGAAAGGGCATATAAACAAGAGGGAGAAGGACAGTATACAAGGGTGGATAGTGACAGGACAAGGGGAAATAGTTTTAAACTGAGACAGGGGAGGTTTAGGTTAGATATTAGGAGGAAGCTTTTCACACAGAGGGTGGTGACACACTGAAACAGGTTGCCCAAGGATGTTGTGGATGCTCCATCCCTGGAAGCATTCAAGGCCAGGCTGGATGTGGCTCTGGGCAGCCTGGTCTGGTGGTTGGTGACCCTGCACATAGCAGAGCAGTTGAAACTGGATGATCAACTCAGGCCATTCTATGATTCTATGAAATGGAATACTATTTTTAATTCATTGGCACGCAAAGAATTCAAATGTTTCTAAATAAGAACAGGGGTTGTCTTTGGTCTTTTAACTTCTGGCTTTTGTCTTTCCATCTCAAAGGTCAAGAACCTGGTAGAGCAGTTTAGCTCCCAAATGCTAGAAAGGAGAACTGCTGAGTTCTCTTCACCAGTTCCTCAAGTCACACCTGCAAGTAACCATGCTCCTTTTTCTCAACCTCAGGAACAAGCTGGGACAGACTACACCATATGGGCTTCAGGGCATTCAGCCTATCCTTTGATGGATGCCAATACTTACTTTTGCAACCAAAATTCTCTGGACTGGCTCAGAATCATCAAATACCACAAATCCGAAGTTGGGCAGTTTTCCTCCAACTCCCTTTGTGTTGATGCGGAGTTCAACCACATTTCCAAAGCCTGTGGAAGGAAAAAGCCATATGAATAAAAAACATAATTTACCACCTCCTGCTTCTTCTCAGCCAACATCACATACGAATTCCTCTGAGAATATGAGACCATACGTGAATGTCACACACGTCTCTGACACAGCACATCTGTTTCTTTCCTTAGTCCGAAGTTGGTACTTACTCATGAAGAACTCTTTCAGTTCACTCTCGTCGATGTCATGCGGCAGGTTCCCAACAAACAGCTGATGGCTGTCTGGGTAGCGGATTATTCGGCGATTGTCCGACTCATTTTGCTCCACATCCCCTCTCCCTGTGCCAGGGGAAAGAAGAAAGCAGAGACACTGCAGTTAGAATTAGTGCGTAGGCTCCAACACATCCACCTGCGATTAGCACCAAACATGTGCGCTCAAACCTCCTGTACCTTATAAAGAAGAGGAACTTTGTACTTATCACAATGTATTAAAAAAAATTAGATTTAAGTCACCACTTTATCTATTCCTTCACATAACAACATCACCTTTATTTTGTACTGAACAGTCATGCTTCTAGTCCCCTATCTTTCGTCTCTTTTTATTCCAAGCAGAAGTGAGAGTTTGTAACCTCTTCATCTCAGCTGAAGCACTTTTAAGAGCAGCAAAGGCTGTTCACAGACTTACTTTGAAGAGGAGATGATAGAGTAGGATCTCTACCATTGGTTAATGGAGATTTTATCTCTGTCCCCTGCCACCCACCCAGTAAGATCACAATCAAAGGACTCGGGCTCTGGTACACATTGTCTGTATGGTTTATGTTATGGTTTTGTTGTGTTTACATTCAAGAGTAGGAAAAATGGAGATGTACAACTTGATTTAGCCACAAGTTGCATCTTCCACTCCCTGTTGCATATTACACACAGAGGGGGGGAAAGAAAAAAAGGAATGTCAACTTGTAGCACATGTTCTTGGTACCTTAAGTCTTTTCAGTTCAGTATTGCTCCCATGTGAGGAAATGCCTGCACTGATCAAAGCCAAAAGCAAACAGCACTTTTAAGGCTGACCTCGATCTCACTGAACACTTCTATCAGACCAAATGAATCAGAGCTGGTAGAGAAGCTCACAGCTGCTGAGACTTAACCACTGCTGCATGAAGCACTTTGCAAGCTCCTGACAACTTTTTGCTAGCACTTGGAACAGTCGCAAACATCACTCTCTTCCTTGCAACTCATGACTCATATGCATGGTTCGTACCTTCGTTAGCTATTCAACCATCAATGATTATAGCCTTGGGCTGAGTACTTTTTGTCCACCACTGAGCAGAGGCTACCAATTGACCAGGTCAGACTGATGAATGCCACTCAGAGCACTTTCATGTTCCAACACCACTTCTAATACCTGTCAAGTCATAGGCAACTTTGCTAGCAAAGCCACCCCATGGATTTGGGTACTCTGTATCAGTCAGGGAATGTTGAAGTGTGGCTGCTCATAGGTGAGTACAAACACAAGGTAGCCAAACCCAGAACAGGCAGTTAAGCAAGATGGAAAAATATGTGTACAATTATTGACTGTTTGAGGCCAAGATGGCTGGAAGGTTTTCTTCTAAAATAAAGAGCGCTACAGCCACTTAAGAGCTTTTACTTTCAGCATTCAACAAAAATCAAGGCACATAGAAAAAAAATACTTCTGGAGTACCTTTTTGGAATTGTACTGAATCACACAGAAGGTATTCCGGCACATAAGCAAGTGGTCTGGCTATTAAAAAAGAATTCAGTAGAACAGAGGACTGGAAATACCTCAACTCTGTATCAGATCAATTCCCAGTTCAGATTCAGTATCATCTTCCACATTTCCAGTTGAAGACGGTACGAGTGGACAGTTCACGATCAGTCAAATACAGTACAGTTACAGGAAGATCCCTCAAGGAGTCATCACTCCCACCCAGCCCCACAAAGCCCCATGAGCTGACCTGGTCGAGGTCCACGGGGTGGAAATCCTGGTCGCTCCCTTGGGCGCTGCTCACGCACGCGAGGAGGCTGAGATTGAGCTTCGGGTTTTGTTTCAACTCTTGGCTGAAACAGGAGAACAATTATTATTGAGTACCGTCTATTAAAGAAAAGGCCCAGCAAAAAACAAAACCAAAAAGCAACACAAGACATAGGTAAGTGGCATGCAGAAAATGAAGTCTGGAAGATATACATCCAAGTAAATGTGTTGGGAAATACATTTTTTCATCTCTATAAATTCCTCTGTACCAATCCAGGACTGCAGTGGTCAATATCTCTGCTAAAAGGTTCAAAGCAAACATCTCTCAATCAGAACGTCTCCCCAGAGCACATCTGACATTTACTTTCCATGTGTGACCAGGCACTCAGACCACTCCGTGATTCACAAATCTCTCGACCTGACTGGAATAGATCAGATACAGCGTCCTCATGTCAAGCTCACACTTCATGGGCTGGGAGGTATCTCAAGATGGACACTGAGAGACGGACAACTGTCTGCATCTCTGAGGGACTCTCCCTAGAGTGCAGAAAAATGATTAAGGAAACTACCAAAAGAAAGAAGAGGGAAAAGAATAAAAGGAAACAAAAAGAGCACCTTATGAAGTACAGTAAGGATTTATGATGCAATATGGCCATTGGATAGTAATTAGTTCAGACTTAGTTCCTCAGCTGCTGAGGATGTTCTTCAACTTTCCTAATTTTGAAATCATGATGTACAAAGCACACCCTTTCAATTTTCAGGAACTAGAACACACATTTTCGCAAGCAAAAAATACTTTCAAAGACAATTTGAGAAAGAGAGACACAACCTCCTGCATAAAAATGTTTCTTTGCAGACCGCTGGATACTGAAACAACGTACAGCATTTATTTTCAGTTTGCGCACAGCAGCTGCAGCTCTGTTGGGGTCTTGGAGAAGCAAATTCATCCTTCGGAATGTGAGGACAAGCACTGGCTTCTGAGGAAGATGATTAAAGTCAAGGACAATGGCTGTAAGGCCCCGACTGCTGCAGGAAAGGAGTTTATGTCATGAATCTCCCTTCTTTTCCTTTGAGGACACAGAACATTGGCTACGTCACCAATGTCCTTCCACTAAATCCCACATATAGCCAACCTGTACTCACCAGTCCTGCATTTCACCCAACTTCTCATCTATCACACATTCGCTCACTCCTAACTAAGCCGTGCAAGTTATTCGGTCCTCTATAATTGGTACTATCAGTTTTTTCAGAGTTCTCTGGCACTGCTTTAAGGGGAAGAAGCAAGCAATGGCAATTTGCAACTCTGCACACAAAGCCACAGAATAAGGATTTCAACAGACAATCAGGAAAAAGAAACCACCAACCTCAGCTTCTGGGCCTTTGAGAACAGTGAAGGAAAAGATGACTCCATTATCTGCGGGAGCTCACACAGGGAGGGAAGAGACTACGGCTATGCTTTGCACATACTACTGGCAACAATAGTTAGACCAGCTGTGATGGAGAGGAGGAAGGGCAGACAGAGCAAGAGAAGAGGAGGCTCTGTAGGCTTGAACAATGCCGTTTTTAATATCTTATGAGGTTTAAAAGCTTTTCTGCAGTGAGTTGCCTTCTACAACAGAAGTGCACGCACACAAAGAAGCAACCAGCCAAAGGAAAAACACTAAATGAGATCCAATCAAATGTCCATCACCTCACTTGCATCACAACAGCTGGTTTAGAAGCATACTTCTGACTGCTGCTGCACCATCTCCAAGGTGAACATGAACAGCAGAATGCACTGAAGATCAATCATTCATCACTGCCCTAAAGATATTATAGATTTGCTACTATAAACATGCTAACCATTCCAAAACACGGAAAGACAGAGCAGCTTTCAGCTCCCTCTTCTCCCTTGAATCTGGGCCCAGAAAACTCACATTAGCCTTAAAATACACAAGACTTAAAGCCCAGCTCTGTTTAACACACAAACCCTGCTGCAGGAAAGTCTATCCAAAGTCTGAACACTTTCAAGGTGATGAAGGAATGTAGCCCCTAAACAGATCCTTCCTTGCTCTCATTTCCCAGCCACAAGAAAGAACCAGAGAGCACCATGCCTGCACCACCCTCCAGCACAGTCGAATGAACTAATGCACACAGAGAGGCAAAATAGCTGAAAGTGCCATAAAGGTTCAGCAGTGAGGAATGAAGTGGAGTGATGCTGGAGAAAGCAATAGAAGGAACAGTTCAAATTGCTTTGTGGTATCATTGATGTTGGTAAGAACAGCAACCCAAAGGAGCCACCCACCCACTGCTGCAATCTACGCCACTGTTTTGTGCAAAGCATCTGACACAAGAGAATGTGACAGGATGGGGAAGTGCTACCATTGATTTGTAACTCCTTGCAGAAATTTAAAATGTCTTTCCACCATCCTTCTGTACACCATACCTGAAAAGCATGCAAACCAATGAGCTAAGAGCAGACTCATTCCATCTCCAGAAGAGCTGAGAAATTTCTTCAGAAACTTTCATGCAGACCTCCTTCAACATGAGGTCAGAACTGAAGTAACAAAAAGGTGCAGAACGTGACAAATTGCAGAGGGAGCAGAAAGATCTAGGGGACATCTGTGATTTGTACTCTAGTTTCTTACACCGGTATTTCAAAATGCTTCTTGCATTTTAATTATGAATATAAAAAAAAACTACCCTCTCTACTGCAAATAAGTCACTGTTACAAAAAACACATCTGGTTTTGCTTAAGGCAAATCCATTCTGTATAAGAACAAACACTGCTTTTACTATTCCAATATCACTTGAACAACTCAAAGCTCTGCTGAAGTTGATGAGACACATTTCCCTACTCACTGCACAGTGACACACATCACTCGTTTTCCGCAACAGCCCCGGAGGAGCAGAAGCAGGACCATAGAAGCAGGAGCTTGGTTTTGTGTTTTTTTTGTTTTAAACATGCACTTAGCTTAAGGGTACTCCTAGAAAGGTCCTTCTATATCAGTAACAGAGAAGAACGCAAAGCTAAATCAGCAGCTGCCATAAAACAAACCAGCTGCTCTACTGAAATTACAGTCTTTGTAAAGCATTGGACATGAGAGTACCACAACACACAGTGCTGCTGGAGTATGGCACTGGTAGGAAAGATTAAAGCATGTTGCTTATTTGGAGAATTTTGTATGCATGAAAGCAGCTCAGAGTCTCAAAGCATCTCACCAACTTGGCACGTGCAGAACATAAGATATTGCCCAGTCTTTTCAAACTTTCTCTTTTCTCTCCCCTCCTTTCCACATCAGCCTGGGAATGGGAAGACAGCATTGTCCTGACCAGGACATGTGAACCCTTCCATCCCCCACACAGTCATAAGTTGGTACAGGGTTCTGAGACAAATTAAATATGTATGGATAATGGAGTCCAACATACTTCTGTAGACAATATCTCTTCAAGGCAAACTTGCACCTTCTCAACAAGGATGCACTCTGTTTGACTGCTGGGGCACTTCTGCCAAAGAAATTCCCCTTTCACATACACTTTAGGAAATAACTGCTATGGGAGTAGTTGCTTGAGGGTTTTTTGTTTGTTTGTTTGTGTTCAAATCATATCCCAGTAAGATAGGTAAAAAAAAAAACCAAAGAAAAATCAGTGATTTCCTGTTTTCACATGAGCAGTTTTTAACGTTACCACGATTATACCCAAAGTTACACCTGCTATGTGTATGTGCCTTACACTTACAACAAGGTGAACGCATTCACATTTAAGACAATTAATTTGTGCAATGAAAGTCAAACAAATTGATCTGTTAATTGAAAAACGGAAGCAGTTTGCAGAAGTAATGAGACAATCCAAGGTGTTCACAGATGGGTTACCTGTGAGACCGGTGCTTTAACATGGGGCGGAATTCCAGAGGAGGAAACAGTACCACTAGGAGGCAGGTTTTTACTGGTCACTGAAGCCCAAGAGAAAGCCTGCAGGAAATGCAACAAACCTAGGCTACTCATCATGAAAACCACTGACATACAGGGAAACTTGTCTGCTGAAAATATACTTTTGGTTCATAGCTGACTACTTAACGTTACAAAGATACAGCAGGATTTGCAGTTCAAGCCATTTGTAGACTCCAACGGTACAGAGCAGGGTGTGCAGCTTTTACTGCCACTACTGAAACAAGCTGGGCTCGCTCAGCATCCCCAGCTCACTGCTTCCCTAGCACTGACAATCCTGCAGTGTTCAGTGTTCTTCTGCACAAAGGAAGAGAGTGGATGCCAGAAGTTAGAAATAAAAACAGCAAAGAGGAACAGGATTGAAAAGATCCGGGAGACTGATGTCGGAGCTAGAGAACGACCTCTCTCCAGCTGTCATCCACTCCTCCCATCTCTTTCAGCTACCTCCACGTTACTGTATCAGATGACGCATGGCACTTTTTAAAATTAGGCATCCTGCTTCTAAGGGAGACAATCAAAGCCTCCAGACTTTTTTTTTAACCTATACTATGGATCATTTTTCAAGTGCCAACGCATCATGAGTTTGTTTTTTGTTTTTTTTAAAGGAAGAGCAGTGGTTCCCATTGCATGAGTTTTTCGTTGGTGACGGTCTGGATTGTTTTTTTTAATATACCTTAACTACACATTTAAAAAGGTTAACACATGCATAAAACCACACACACACTTTACACAGCATTACATCTACAATACATAACTTGAATAGCATTGAAGAACAACTTTTTTGGTGACATTTCACAACTTTTTTTTTTTTTTTTTTTTTTTTTTTTTTTAAGTTGAAGGTTGAAATCTAAACAGTGTCAGATATGAAAAGAGTTTGGCCACTCAAAATGACTAAGATCAGATCCAAACCTTTTGGTTTACCATCTGCACCAAGAAGCACAATACGTATTTTAACTGACCTTTGGTGGTTCTTGGGGTAGTGAAACAGGTTCTACAGGAGGTGGAGAAGGAGACTTCTCTTCCAGCTCCTCAAGAGCCTTTTCTTCTACCTCAGTCTTCAGCTCCTCAGGTTTTGTTTCTGATTCCAATTCCGGCTCAGGCTCATGAGACGATTCTTCCAGTGCCTCCTCTATACCATTGCTACAATAGTCAAATGCATTTTATGCAGCTTTTCAATTGCTTCCTTCTTATGGCTTTTTCTTAAAGTTATACAGTGGTAATGATTGATTTTGTAATGATTGGTTTCCTAGTTGTTACCATATGGTACCTTTGTATATGATATCATATTAAGTTAAGCTGTGCACTTATAGCTGCACACTAAGCCAGATTTTATTTCTGCTAATGTGAGGACGTTTTACAGTTTTTAACAAAAAATCTGAAAGTTAGATATAGAAACCCTTGAAGGAATAGATGATGAACTCAAGAACTGTTTCTGTTCATAAGGAAACCAGACAGTCAGATCTGGCTCTTTAAAAGCAATGCCCGGCATGTTTAAAAAAGCACTTAAAAAAAAGTCTATTTTTCCAAGGCAACTTCTCAAAAATTACCTCTCCCTTCCAGCTTCAAGCACCAGCTAAATTGAGGAGTAACACATGATTAACCACTCTCTCATTAAAACATCTGTTCATACAGATTATTATAACATATCACTACTGTAAGCTTACATAATGAAGACTGCATTAAGTATGTACACAAGCACACTTACTGCCTTTTTATCTCATATTTGAAACTAGAAGTGAAAACAATAGCGGACATGAAACCTCCCCTCCTTTCTTTCTCCGGTCACGAAATCAATATTTCAAATGTGATGTTGACACAGCATAGATCCATATCAGTTTAAGTGTAATTTCCTAGATTAACTGCTAAATCACATCCAAAGCCTAAACCCAAAGCAGTTCTGTTGTTTTTATTTTAGAAAGCAATGCTGTAATGAAATGGCCTTCTTACGTGACAGGATGATTCTCATAGTAGGTACTGCTTGCATTTTCTTGCACAGGTTCAGGTGACGGTTGTCTTTCCTCTTGTTCTTCCTCCACCTCCTCTTCAGACTCTGCCATGAAAGAAACAATTCCTTGAGCACCTCTGCAAGCATACATAAGCCTCACCTACAGTACAAGCACGTCGAACTAGTAGTATAACAAAATCACACGTCATCAACAAAATAAGGCAAAATGAGTTGAGAAGAAAAGTGAGAGCCCCTTCTATTCTTTTTCAAAGGCTTTGCTTCCTACTGTTTTCACAAAAATGACACCCCAGAGATATACCTACTACCATTACTACTACTATTGTGAGGAAGAGTGAAGGATCTTTTGAAGCAGCAGGACACTTTCATATGTTGTCCACGTAAAATAAACATTATTAGCTCTTAAAATCACAGTATCTAACACTAACAAAGTAAACCTCAAACACAAGAAGAATCATTTGTCTAAAATGTTTTGTTCCATGCTGTTGAGATTAAATAAATCTCTGAAATTACCCAGTACATCCCAGCTGTACTCTCCTTTGATTTGCTTTGGCTCAATAGACTGGGCAAGAGAAAAATCATCCAGAACAATAAAGTTCAGCTCAGGGACAGAAACGAACCCCTGAACACGATGATGATATGGGAGTGAATGATACTTCATATTTGAAAAAACAGTTACATTTTATTTGACTGACCACAGAAATCTAGCCTACTAAACAACACTCAGATGTAGCAAAACTACTACTGCTCACTACAACCCTTCTTCACCAAGTCTCATCCACCCGAAAAGGCAGTGCAGTCCCCACAGAAATAAGGTTTTAATGTAAGACCTCCATTTTCCAATGTTGAAGACAGCACATAGTCCCAATATTATGACCTACATTCTCCCTTAGCCACATACTACGCTACATGAGAATGGAACAGTTTGCATCTTTCCGTGTCCTCCAAACACTCTGAAAGATTGGCACCATCAGACAAATAAACCAACTCTACACCACAAGTACAGTTCTTCTTACCTTCATCAAGTTCTCCTTCAGAATCCCCAAATACTTCATCTTCATATCTGAAGATATCGTTATGTACATAGAACTTGTTTGGAACAGACCCCTGTAAAAGAGCAACACACACTTGGTTGTGTATATGATACGTTAGAACTCATCAGTACGTATGGATTGGAGATGTAAGCTTTGGGGCACACTTCGTAAGCTTTGGGCCATTTGAAGTTCAACATGATCTTACAGCTACTTACCTCTGGAGCAAGTACAAAGGTCTGCATGAACTTCCTCATGGGCTGTCCATTGTTAGACAGCTCCCCCATGACTTGCACCACCACCCCATCGCTCAGAGTGGCATGAGCATCCACATGGCGAATCTTGGTGTGGCACTCACTGAACTGCAGTGACATCACTTTCTTGTGTATCTCCTGGAAACACACAGTTATATTTCAGCTACACTGAGTTTTATACACAGCTTCACACCTAAGTCTCAACAAACAGAAAAAGCCCCCCACTGAAGTTCAAAAGGCAAATGCAGGAACCCAGGAACATCTTTCACCAAGAAGAGTCTATCTGAGCTTAGGGAATTAGTTTTTCATCATGACTCAAATACCGTTCAGGACAGTCAAAAAGGTTACCCTTCCTAAATATATTTTCTCCATTTAGATGCAAAGCTGATATATCAAACATAACCCACAGTAACAGCAGCAGCAATCAAGACAAAAAAAGCCATAAAATATTTATATAGGTGTCTGAATAGGAGGCACTATAGCAATCTGCTATTTCCCAGATAGGAAAGTCAAACAATTTGTTTAAAAATGAAAAACTACATTAAGCTCTGAACATTAATAAGGACTTCAGGCCCAACGTTGATACATACAGCTTGGCCATACACTGCTTCTTGTGGCTTCCCACTAGCATCCAGTCCTCCATGGACATAAGAAGAATTCCTGCCATAAAACCTGCAAATGAAAAGATAGTAAAGATAATATCAATGAAAAAAAAAAAAAAGAAAAAAAAAAAAAGAGCCAAAACCAACAATATTTTAGCCACCAGTTACAGATATCAAGGTATTTGGAATTTCAGCACAAACAATTCAAGATCAATTCTAAGATTCCAAGAATACAGAAGGAAAGACGTTTAACATTCAGCAGTCTGATTTACCCACTCTAACTGAGCTGGCTATTTGGTCTTGGGGTTCCCTGAACATTAAAGCCATCTGCCTATGGTAAAATTAATCTACCCTCTACAATTCTTAGAATTAGCTAGCAAATGTTATATTATTTGCACTCATTGCACAATAATCTACAATAACTGAAGCACCACTTCTTACCACCTCCACTGTTTAACTTTCAGCACAAAGCTCACATTTTGCACTTGTGACAGCCAGCTAGCAGCAGTGGCTTTTCTCATCTTGCACAGAGCACACGCCTACTGAGCTCTTAAACCAATAAAAAACAAAAATGAAAACCATTTCTTGACCCAATTTTGGATTTGTTTTCAAAACCACTTCCCCCCTACCCTCTGCATCATACACTTGCTTTCAATATTTTTCTTACATTTCAGGGATATTTCTGTACCCTCTTTCCACTTCCAAGTTCTGAGTCTTGAAATGCCTAAGTCACATTTTGTATTTTTACTACCAGCTTATAAAGCATGTGACAAATGCTTAATACCCTGTAAATTCACATTAATAGCCAGGAAGGCAACAACATAATGTTGCATTTCATTTCAAATCAAGCTTTGCCTCAGGAATGACCGCCATGAGGTCTTAATTCCAATATTTCACCACTTCCAAAGAATTCTGCTAATGTCCACCCCTTAATGGTGTTTGATGTACGAAATAACATTTCCTTTTGGTATTTTCATGAACTGTTTGTCACACAGCAAGGATACAGAATGTTTGCCTCTGGCTAAACAAGCAGTGCACAACATAAGCATTAAGATGAGGAATCAAACATGAGAACACGTGCATTTGCCATTTCTTGTTTTATCCCACTAGACCAAGAAACTCCTTCCAGTTCCAATTTCCTACAAATACCAGGCCAAGATTATAACTGCCCTTAGTTTCCAACAAGAAATTATAAATTAAACTATTTTCTTTGGTACCAGCTGCATAATGGTGGCTTTGAGCATGCTCTAGGACTTTCTAACATAAAAATCAAGGTTCAGTTAAACCAGCAGGTAGGCAGGTGGGAAACCACCCTTTAGCTCTCTGATGGTCAGTGCATCCCATCAAGTACTTCCCACAGGGAGACCAGTAGTTCTAGCTTGCTTTCAAGGAACTGTTCAAACTCTCTATCAGGCAGAAAACATAACAAATGGGAATTGCAGATCAGGAAAGGAGGCTCTACTGAGTCCTCACACACATGGAAATATGCACTGTAAAATAAGGGGCAGTAATACTATACAAATGACACCAAGAAGGACCCATTTTGAGGGCAAATTTTTAAAATCTCTGCATGTCCCTCGATAAGCTTTGGAAAACAGATGACAGACACTTGGTGCATTTCCCTCGAAGAATAAACCAAGAGCATTAGCACTTGCTGCCAAAATCTCTTGCTCACTGCAAAAATTAATCCTTTTCTTTCACCGTCAGGTTCTGGGAAGCCAAGAATTCAAAATGTTTCTATGGCAATGTGCAAGTTGTTGCTTGAAATCACAGCAGGAGGAAGATCAGAGAGAAGGCGCCCTCTCAGAAGAGCATCACACACACGCAAGGTGTGGCCAATGAACACAAAGGCAAATGCCCTCAACGTGCTGAGTGTCTCTACAGGCACCCTTTTGCCTCATGTGCAGCCTGCTATAAATTTTATGCCACCCTAAACTGGAAGCATCAGCCCACATCCATAATGCACCAGGGAATGCCAACTCTATGATGCTCATGTAGCAGGTGTCAACATCAATGCAATGGAATTAATATTGCATTAAAGGGGAAGCAGGGGCAAGGCAAACCTGAAATAGCTGCTTGCTCTTTGGCTGAAGCAGACAGAAAGAAAAAACATTCCAGCAGTATTTTGCTTTCTAAATCAAAACACATGTTCTCCTCCTCCAAGTCCTGCCAAGGTTACAATTGCCATCATTACAGGTAAATGCTCTTGCAAACAAAACAGACTGCTTTCAATAGTGAGTTTGAGGTATGGGTGATTTATCCCTATATTCAACTGTCATTGAAACAAAAATGTTACAGAAAGAAAAGGGCAATCTCCCAGCAAAAGTAACAGAATTCCCCTTATACCGTTCATACTAAGCTTTAAAGCACTGCATAAACACCTCATCAGCTCTTTTCCTCTCTTCATGCAAATACTTTTTGGGTTTAAAGTGAAATGACAGCACACTTCACAATAAACTTGCCTTATCAACTTGGGCTTTTCTATCCTTCAGCAATTACCTGGTTGTTTGGCTATCAGGAATTCCACTGCGTCCTTTGCTCAGGTATAATTGTTGGTGCTGTCACACCCTTTGTAAGTCTTAGAAGAATTTCAACTTCCCAGTCTTCACAGGCAATGGATGGTTAGCTATATGGACAAGATACTAACTACTGACAGAGCAGGTAACAAATCTATCTGAGAGCTGCATCTGAAACCAACAAGAAGACACAAGCCCTTTCCCAGGCCATCTGGAGAGATGCCCCAGAAATGATATGCACACAACACAACTCTTGGATAAGAGAAAACTGCAAGTTTACACACAGGTACCAGCGTGTTACATGGATATACTTATTAGCTGCTTGTTGGACCTAACTCTTTTGTTGAAGTGTTGGGGCAAGGAACAAATCTGCAATTTTTGAAAATGCTGCTTGGGTCTCCAGCTAGACTACAAAGCATAGTGCCTGGAAACATGCTGCTCAGGCAACCCTTCCCCTTAAGATCTACATTTAAAGTCAGAAAAGAAAAACAAACATTGTTCCACAGCAGCTCAGTGATTTAAGTAAAAACGATACCATCCATTTTCCCTATCTCACAGCTCCAGATGAAAAGAGACATTATTCACAAGGCTGAAGTCCTCAGCTTCCCATCAAGGAGCTCTAACTTCAACAATTCCATTTCTCCACAATCAACCTGATGTCAAGTTCTGATAGAAGAGATCCAAGAAGCAATGTTTCTAAAAACAGCAGCAACAAGAAACACTTGCAAAGCCAACTTCACCTTTATCAAAAGTCTGTGTTGCTCTGAATCCAAATGTGGAAATACAGTATCTTAAGTGACAAACGGTACGTAGGCAATCAGAACCATAAAAAGAAGGAACACATCCAGAGCTGCAGTGAAACAGCAGGCACAGGTAAATAAAACCTGTGCATGTGCCAATGCCTTGTCCATGCCCTGACTTCTATACTTAGATCTCCAGTCATGACCTAGACAAAAGCTACTCAAAAGATAATACAAAATTCAGTACACTGAAAGTCAGCACGTTTGTCTCTGGTGCAGCACATAGGTGCTTCATCCACAACTTTCCTTCCTTCTTTATTTTATTTTTTTAAATTTTTTAATTTTTTTATTTTTTTTAAATAACATTGTTTCTCTGATTCTCCCAGATTACCACCCTACCTGTGAGAAACAGCTCACTTTTCCAGGCAGGAAATATCTTAAGAACAGCCATACATCCTATAAATACATCTGGTTCTGGAATCTGAAGGCTTTTTTCTGTAACATGTTTTCCAAGCACCCAAAAGTTAATCAGGTCAATTTCCTGCCACACTCAGAAACTACTGAGTATCTGATTTTTGATAAAGAACACGTGTTTCTGTTCAAAACCATTGGTTACTGTTGTGTCAGTGTTACCTGTGCAGGAAGTCAGGAGCTTTATTGAGCAGAGTGTAGTACTGTCTGACGAACTCCCGCCCTACAAGCAGGGGACTGGGCTTCTCCATCACCATTTCTTTGGTACACAGGGTCGAATGCTGCAATTAAAAGTATTCCTGTTAGTTTGAAGACAACCCTATATATCACAATGTCCTAATAAAAGGATTAGTATAGTGATATTAGAAGTGAAACAATTACACAAACAGGAACTTGAATTCAAGATCCATCCCCAGCGTTCCTTGGAGTAAATACAAAGATTTCTTCCTGTTAACATCCCATTCTGACTGAAAAGAAACAGGGAAAACAAATGAACTTTACTCAGTCCCTTGAAAATGGGGCACTTCCTACCCTGCCCTAAGACAAAAGAGATTATTGAGAGTGTCTAGCACTATTTATTTGACTTTTGGCAATTAAATTGACGAATAATTAAAAGGTTGGAATAGATCCTAATGGGATGGAGGAGAATTGAGGATAAAAAACAAACAAACCAACAGTGAAATAGAATTCGTGGGTTGAGATAAAAGCTATTTAGAAAAGGAAAAAAGAAATAGCAGTAATGATAATTTTATATAAACAAAACAAGCAACGCACAGGCAATTGCTCAGCACCTGCCAACCAATGCACAGCCAGTCTTCGAGCAGTGGCAGCACCCCCTGACCAACTCCCCACTGTTTTCAAGCATTTTCTACAACACATCATGCACCATGGAATATCCCTTTGGCTAGTCTGAGTCAGCCATTCTAATTTTGATCCCTCCCAGCTCCTTGTGCCTCCCAGTTACCTCACTGGACAGGACAGTACAAGTAGCCAAAATGTCCTTGCCTCTCTCTAGCACTGCTCTGCAATGACCAAAACATCACTGTGTTATCAACACTGTTTTTCTCCTAAAACCGCAACAGAGCATCCTACCAGATACTATAGAGAAAATCATCTCTGTCCCAGTTGAGCCTAGGACCCACGTGAGTAGACCTTCCACCCGCAATTTTGCACACTGGCTCCTGTTTTCACATGGTCTACCTGGAAGCATGATCTCATCAAGGTATGCAGTAGCAATGCATCTCCCACCCCAGTCCTCTGCTCTCCAGGCTTCAGAGTCCAGCACTCTCAGTCCTCTCTCTCAAGATACCCCAGTCTCCAACAACCTAAAATAAGATTTCTGTTTTCTTATGAAAATAACCTCAGCTCAGCAATCAAAACTATGGGCCATGTAAAAGGCTGTTCCCATCACAGCTTTCCAAGGACAGAAAGCACACAAGGAGAAATTTAGAAATTAACTTCAGCTCAAAAGAGCCTGTAATTAAAGGTGAAATGCATACAGGAGTATCACAAACACATCAGATCTGGCATCAATAAGACCTGATGAAAACAAAACACCCAAGTACTTTTGCTCATGTAATATTAAAATAAACCCAACCAAGCCACAAACAGTACCTCAAACTATTATCAAACACCATGAGTCAGAAATGCCCTCAAAGCAATGGTCTCAGAAACAGCCAGCAGGCAAGGTCTTGAACACAAGTTCTGAAACTGGAGATAAGAAATCAGAAAACATATATGGGCTTATCCAGAATTTTAAAGACAATCCTCCAAGACTTGGGAACACTGAATTAACTGAGACTTGTGGAAACTCCCAAATGACATTTATTTTTTAGGTATAATTACCAAAATTATTTCCAAGAATACCACAGAAAACCACGGGCTTGAGCCATGCCCATGCTCAAAGTAGCATCTGCTGAAAAACTCAATGCAAACCATGGGAGGATCTTCCTGACCTGACTTATACTATAGCAATAGTGTGCACAGGCAAATGGTACTTAGAAGCCAACCTTAAAAGAGTAAATAAAAATTAAAGAAACAGGTGACACAACGCTTCTCTGCTGCCCTGTCCCCAAGGAGGTGAGAACACAGTGCCACAATCACTACAAGCACTTGGGAGAAAATACAGGGACAGAACTTCCTAATTTCTTTTCTTTTTTAAATCAGAACCTGTTGAAGAGCCAATCACAGCCAGAACACATCCCTATAGCATTAAGCACAGTACACATGTTAACAAATTGCTGCATACCGCATGGAGCACTGAAAACACCTCTGGGTACAAAACACAATAACCTAGGAGGGAGTTATTACCCCACACCAGAGCTGTATTGCACACAAGTTTTTCATTAGAAGTGCTATTTCAGCAAACCCAAGAAAGACAAGTGCACAATAATCACACACAGCTAACTCTTCCTGTACAACACAGAGAAATGGGTTCACGTGCTGCTGAAGGAGACGTGTACAGTCCACCTCTGCCCATGTTTCAAGTGAAAGGACCATTACCTCAGAGAATACCACTGTTTAACAGGATGTATCTGTATAACTCTTCGCCTTTCCAACATTATTCTCTGCACCACCTCTTCAAATATTCTTACAGAGTTAGAAGAGGCTTACTGAACCTCTAAGTCATTAGAAGGCAACTAAATAAAAAGGCAAGCACTGCTTGTTACCAATCAACATGCGTCCCGAGAACCCAGGTTTACTGTACGTTTGCGCCTTGGTTGTTCCAGGTAGTGCTGCACCTCCTCAAGGCCCAGGACCCAAGTCCCAGCCGGCCTGGTGATTTGGGAGCTGAATGAACCTGGGACATTTAAGCCAAAACATAAACTGCCTGAGTGCCAACAAAGGTGATTGCTGATCTGCACCAACGTGAACAGTCAGGACTGAAACCAGCAGTTATCTCTATGTTCTGCCACACACTAGCAGAAGCCCCATATGTAGACAAAGAGTAACCATCTGAGCAATTTCTCAGTGAAATAAAAGGAATCACTTTTTTTTTTTTTTTTTATAAGCCTCCACAGTATTTGGGAAAAGGTCTCCGTAAGAACTTATCACTAAAGATGCTGGAGCCTATACCGGCCAGAAACAAAACACTGTCACAGAGACAGCCAACAGAAGAAATAACATTTATCTATTGGTTTCATTACAGTGCAATTACTGTGCTTCAGAAGCCCCTTATGCCACATACCTGACAAAAGCCACATAGCTGGAGCAGCACAACCACCCCCATGTAACTACTTGCAGGCAAGCTGCCCCAGCAGCTAACCAAGTAGAGCCAACTTGCTGCACTCGTGCAGTACTGCCATTTCCTGTGCTATCAGCAAGGCACGCTGAATTCACAGTGCATTCCTGCGCTGAAGAAAACCACACCCACACTAACAGACCTTGTATCAGACTGCAGGATGAGGAACCAAGAAAACAAAAGATATTTTCTTCTGAAAGGGAACACCAACTACAAATGAAGGACAACACTGAAATAAGTATTATCTTTGTGACAGCAGCAAAGCTACATCGAATAACATTCCTGTACGGGGTTATTGCAGACTTCTCTCAGCTCTGCAAAAAAACACCCTTTGATGATACTTGTTAAGAGACAAAACAATGAGACATAGCTGAGTTAGGACAACTGTGCTCAAGTGTTTGGTTATCAACTGTAGCAATAATCGCTCAAGAGAATTAATAATGCCATGCATTCAGCCTGTAATAATCTTTATGCACTAAACTTCCATTTATTAAATTGTGTTTGCTAATTCTTCATGTAGGAAGGGAAAACATCAAAACAAAAACCCTACCAATCCATCAGTTTGCAAAGGAAGGCAGCAGCAATTTGTTCCTAAAAAGGTACAGAGGAGCACAAAGTGCAGAGCAGTCACAACATCCACCAACACACATCTTACCTATCAGATCTTTCACATTACAGAAGCTTTCGTTTTTCCTCAAAACAAAGTTTCTGACACAATTTTCCTTAGCATGTAGAAGCAGCAGTGTGACCAGTCACATGTGAAAGGCACTAGGGGTAGGTTATGGAGGTCACATGGCAAGGACAAGCAGGCTTTGCTTTATTTAAAAATATATATAAGCAAATTAATGCTTTTGATGTATTGACAGGCAAGTTTCATCCTTCACACTCTGCCTGCAATTCTTCCATGACTAAAGGAACATGGCTAAGGAGCTACTGCTTCACAAATATCTGCAGCAGTGTGGTTTGTTCTTGCATTCAGATGTCCGCAGCTTTTGCCAAGATTGATTACCAGGATGGAATATACCATTTAAATTCAAAATAAAATTTGGCAAAACACTCTTGAAAAATCAGAAGATGTTACCCATGCAGTGAGCACACAGAGTGAAGTCCCAGCAGATATCATGCTGCTTCCCATCTAGCAGCAGTGGAGGAAAAAAAAAGGAGAAAGTGGTTTTCTCCATCTTGGACAGGATTCTCCTAAGCCCAGACCATCACGAGAGATAAAACTGGGGCTTCCAGAAGGCCAAGAACCAACCACACTTGAATTGCTTTTCCTAACACAGACAACCAAATAATGCCTTAAAGAACATGCTTGCTGCTGTGATCTATGTGAGATCTCACTGCTGCAATACAGTGTGTGAGTAACCACACCTTGAATAAAGCAAAAACTTTGCTGCAATGGTCAGTCCAGCTGGCACAAGCTGTAGCACAGCCCTGCCACACTGGTAATATTGCAGGCAAAAGCAGAATAAGCACTGACCAAACTGAAACAATACTGAGAGCACAACTGAAAGTCCCTGACAGCCAGTTCATTCCTGAAAGCAACTTCTCCCTTCCTTGCTCTGCAAGGTAAGCATTCATATCATCCTACATCAGCAAGTAAGAGCCCGTGAACCTCAATAATATCTCAGAGAATTACTTCGCTTTATGATCTCCTTTATTAAATCCAATAGGATCTGAACTGGCTGAGCCCCAGGGCAAGACATGTGGCTCTTTCCAATCAACCTGTTCTGTGATAGGTTTTGTTTTATGCTGCCTTTTTTTTGTTGTTGTTTTTTGTTTTTTTGTTTTTGAGGAGCTTAATGGCACTGTGTATTTTAGGCATAAGACTACTGATAGGGACCATCCAAAAGAGCCAACACTCACCTGAATAAAAGCAGCAACAACACCTGCAGTCACTGCCACCTCCTCCCAGGAAGCCCCTTTCAGCTCCCTCTCCCTGGACCCTGCCATTCAGCAATAGTTTCTGTGCCTTTCTCCTGTCACCAAATCTACCCACCAGCCTGATACACTGCTCTTCTCACATATTCCCCGAGTTGCAAAGAAGGTCTTCACTTGCCGTATGCCCTCAAAAAAACTGACATCCAGTATCACAATTGCTACACGGAAAAGAAAGAATCCAATTCAACATTGTGTTAAGACACTACGCGGGGTCAGTGTATGCTCAGCATCCTACTATACTCTCTCAGCCCTAATGTAGATGTATAATTTGAAACCTCAGTTTTATGCAGAACATAAAATCCAGAAAAACAGTAGCAGATCAGTACATTGGATGGTTGGCTCCCCGTGCTCTCTCTCCAGTTTAAGCTGTGCTAATGCAGAAGAGATTTTGTTCTGCTAATGAAAAATTCATACAATACAGATCATAGTTCCCTACAGTGAGCCAAAATCTGCCAATGGGAATATTACAAGAACATTTTTCATGGTAAACAAGGATTAAACCCAAGCTACCAGAGCCCTGAACAAGTCTGGAAGCAGGATGGTGTTCCCTTAGGAATAAGAAAGCTTTCTCAAGACAGGTATGACCCTGCAGGCATGTGTATGGTCACAATGAACACAGAACACCTTTTTAACGATTCATTAACTCCAGCAGTTAAAGCAAGACCAGCTCGGCAGTAACAACATCTTCTGAGCTGGAAATGTAAGGTTAAGAATGTGGTACCTGCTCATCACAGCATAACACAGATCTTCTGCCAGGGACTTGCTTCACTAACATAGCTCTCCTGAAAGAGACGTGCACGTCCATAGGAGGGCTCACTCCATGACTGCACTGCATTGTGCCACACAGCACTGAGCAGGGCAGCATAGCTACGCTGCAGAGAAACTGCTGCCATTGAGCTGCAGTGACCTTATTCTGCTCCTGCTCACAAATTTACAGCACACAGAAGAAAAAGAGGAAGACCCTGAGGCAGCTGAAAGCACCTACTATGAACAAGAAAAACATACTAGGAATTCTCTCTGCCTTCAAATCCCTCTACCACTACAGGTTAGAGAGCAGAACACTGTCTTTAAGGATGTAGGTTTCACATCCAGAGCCTGCACAACAACTGACCTAAGAAAAAAGTACTGCACCCTGTGTCTTTGCAGATCAGAACCACTTCAAGCATCTTCACACTTCACTTTGTAAGAAAGCAGAATACTGGCACACTGAATTGTATCTACAGAAGGCTCAAAGATTGCAAAAAAATCACACGACAATCATAAAAACTAGAAAATGAAGTAATGTTTTCTGAGTGAAATGTAGCCATGGCCGCATCTTTCCTCCCTCCCCCCCACTGCACTGGCTCTTCCGGTGCCTGGCGCAGAGCTCAACGCCCAACGGCACCCCACCACCGTAGCAACGCAAAATCCCCGTTCTGGGGATGATGCTGCTGCGCACCTCGACGCTGCGTGATGCAGCCCTCCGAGGGCAGCAAAACCCGAAAACACCCCGCGCCCTGCTTAGGAACAAAACGAGAGGCTCACAGAAACCCGCTCGGCGCGTAGAGTTCTTCCCCTGGAGGGAGCCCATAAGGCTACAGAAGAGACAGGGACCCTCCGGCCGCCAGGAGCAAAAGCCCCAACCCCGCCGCACGGCCAAGGCCCGAAGGCGTTGCAGCACGAAGGACAGAGCGGACCCCGCGTCGCTGCTGACCCCGCGCTCCCCTCCTCCCCTCCTGCCACAGCGCTCACCCGGGGAAAGAGACTCGGCGTGCGCGGGGCCGCGGCGCTCCCCCCGGGGCCTGCTCGGGGCCGGCAGCGGTGTCACAGGGCGGAGGGAGGGGCCGTGCGAGGTGACGTCCGCGGGGCGCGAGTCTACTCTCCGCTTCCGGCGGAAGTCTTTGCACTGAGGTCACTTACGCCACGGGTGGTGCTGTACTTCCGGAGGAAGTCCCTTCGGCTGAGAGAGGTCAGCTTCCGGCGGAAGTGCCCTTACGGGGAGTCGGCGCTGATGCGGATGGGTGTGGTGCCAGTCTTCGCGTTTAGGGTCGGTGCTCCGCTGAGGGAGGCGTGCGTTTTTATCTTACGTTAGAATAATGCTTGTTTTCTATCATCTATTTTGTAACAACCGAGTGGAAAATAAAACTTGACAGAAAATGCTGAGTTTCTCGTCGCAGTCGCTGAGGGGAGGAGACCCCCCTCTCACAGTACACCGTGACCCACTGACGCCTGCTGGGAATTGCAGCAGCATAAGGAACCACGTTGCTGTTGTTGTGAATGTGCGACCCCGGCCACAGGGACGGCCCTTTCACGGCCCACGGGTACCGACCCGAGGGGGGAGAGGCGTGGCTCACGCTAAGTCCCACCGCCATCGTGATGACGCCCCCGCCGGAGGCCACGTCGGCGCCACGTCGCGACGCATGCGCAGTGGCCGCTTCCGGCACGGGGGTGACGGCGGGGCCGGGAGCGGTAGAACGGGGCCGGCGGTGTGCGGAGCCGGTGGGCGCGCAGTGGAACTGCCATGAACTTCCTGCGGGGCGTCATGGGGGGGCCCAGCGCCGGGCCGCAGCCCTCTGGCGCCGATACGGTGAGGGACAAGGGAAGCGGGCGGGAACGGGGACCGGGCCTGGCGGGGCCGCGCTGTGACCTACGCCCGGTGCTTTCCAGATCCAGAAGCTTTGCGACCGGGTGGCCTCCTCCACGCTCCTAGATGACCGCCGGGACGCCGTACGTGCTTTGAAGGCGCTGTCAAAGGTGAGCACCGGGGATCTTAAGGCTTTCCTGGAGTTCCTTGTGGGCGTTCCTGAGAGGGTTTCTGTTTTTTTTTCGGAGGAGCTCTTTGAGAAGTCCCTGGGGATTCCTGGGGTTCTTGGCAGACTCCTGGGAGGAGCTTCCTAAGGGAAACCTGCGCTGTTTACGGGGATGGTTGGATGTCCTGCTGATAACATTGTTTGGGCTTGGAGCTGCTTGTTGTCAACTCCATGTTTTCTCCTCACAGAAATACCGGCTGGAGGTGGGCATCCAAGCCATGGAGCACCTGGTACACGTCCTGCAGACAGACCGGTAAGTCTGCTGCAGACAAGGCTCCCATTGGGTGCCTTCCTTCCACTAACATAGATAAATTCAGTCCTCTCTCTGCATGGTTACATAGCTGGAAGGGAACTGGGCTTTTGGGGACTTTGTGGTGACTGCCTGTCCTGAACAGTGTGATGAGAGTGTACTTGGAGATGGTCGGAATGAAAGGGGTGTGATTGTTAGGGATGGGAGGAGCAGTTCTGGATCAAACAACAGCAAACTGCATCTCTGTGTTTCATACGTGGTTATCTTTCTCTATAAAAGGGATAAGTGAAGGGTAAAACTAAAGTTACAGTATTAATTAAATGATTTGAAACAGCCCAAACCATCCTGTTCTTGGATAGATGGTAGAATTTAAGAGTGAATAACAATGTCAGCAGATGTGTTTTTACTTTTCCTCAGATACATGTTATTAAATGAATTGCTAGAATGATTCTGTTAGAAGGAATGTTATCTGGAAGGGTTCAAATAAGAAATCTATGCCCCTTTCACATAGAAGGAACTGCTACTAATATATATTTTTTAGTGTAAATATCAGTAGCTTTGTGGAAGAGAATATGCTATACAGAACTTAATTTCTTTTACTGTCCATCTCTCAGTTGTTTGCACTGCTGTTGTATATGACATCACCCATATGGTATAACTACAGAGCTCTCTGTGGTACTCTGGTTGGGGCCTCAACTGTTGAATACTTAGGGTGTTCAGCTGGCTGTACTGTGACACTGTCAGTCTGAACTTGAGCATTAAGCTTTTGTTTTTTTCATTTATTTGTTTTTAAAATGTCATAAAGGCGTATATGGGATACTTGCATGGATATGCATGAAAAGCAGGAGTGGTACAACAGACAAATTAGGAAAGCAGTGATTTGGTATCTGAAAGAAATCCTCAAGGACCTACATCACAGGGGCATCCTGCTCTGCTTAAGTGTTCAGAAGTAGAAACTCTCCAGTGCTCTCTGAGGGCTGCTGACAGCCAGGCTCACCTGGCTGGTTTCACCAGCTGGAAAGAAGCTATGGGCTGGTGTAAGAATGGTGCCATGCTATTGCTGATCCCTTGGCTGTCTACAGCTCATGCCTTCAGCTTTAGCTCTACAGCTCATAGGATCAGGGCAGTACCAGCGGAGATCACGAGAGCAGCAATCCCACGGAGGAGAAGCCCTTCAGAAAATGAGGCCAAGGAGCTGCCTTCATCCCCTGAGCTGCTCATCAGGCTGGATCTGAGCTGTGAGAGGGAGTCAGAACGCTGCTGAGCTCCTTGCTGTGAAGGTGTTGGACAGAACCCTGCTGGGTACAGATGTGGAGATTGTCTGGACTTTGTTGGGCTCCAGTTGCTCCTCCAGGAGCAGTGCTTGTTAGATTTCTGCTGGGCTGCATTGTGTGACTCAGACAGCAGTTTAAAAAGCAGTGAATATGTTCATTTTTGGGGTTTTTAGATGGCAAAAAAAATGCTGGTTTCCACAGAACTTTGATTGAACGTGCAGTAGGAATGCAGCAGGGCCCTGGGATGTGTGCAGCGTAGAGCTGATCTGCAGAGTGCTGCAATGTGAGAACAGTGACAGGTGTGCCTGTGGTTTCCTATTGGATGTTTACAAAGAATGAATGGAATGGTTGAAGATGCACAACTGCTCTATTGCCAGCAGCATTTATTTTGCTGGCATATATCATAGCAATGTAAAAAATAGAAACAACTTTGCTACTAATTATTTTCTAATGCAAATGAGCTGATTGAAAATGCCATCTAATCACAAAGTCGTTTGTATTACAGACCACCTCAGTCAACTGTGGCAGCACAGTAGCTCGCTGCTATTTATGTGGATCTGGAGTGAAAAAGGAGCCATTTTTAATCTTCAGTGCACCTCTTGTTTGTGCTTACTGAGTTGCTCCTTCCCTTGAAACATGAAGTGGGGACTAAGTCAGTTCTCTGTAGTTTTCTCTTTCATTTGCAGCTGTTGGCAGCTTCCATTGTTTCACAGCCTTTATCCTGGAGTAGATATTGCACCACTTTCCTTTTTTAATGGATGTCTTGTTCTACTTGTTACACAGTTCCCTTGTGGATTGCCTTAAGCTCTGTCTCCTGCTTGGGCTGAGATCTGACGTTTAAACTCATTCTGTAGGAAACAGACTTCTTGGGCTGGTTCTTCAGCTTGTTGCGTTGGCCATGTGGGAGCCTGATAATGCTTAAGGCAGCTTTAAATGTTCCAGGCTCCAACACAAATGAGTATTCTTTTTGCAATTTGAGTTAGGAGCTATGGTTGGCTGGAGAACCTTCTCCTGGCTGCCTGTCTGGGCATTGCCACTTCCCACCAGGGACTGTTAAGAAAGAACTGGCACTGACTGTTGAGCAGAAAAGCTCCACTTAACTGCTGGTGTTAAAGAGAGCTGCAGAGCACAAAATTAACTTGGCATTTTACTCTTTTTGTTCTTTAATACAAAATCTTATTTTTTAAAATTCACCATGACAATTCTAACAGGTTGAAACCTAACATGGACCAGAAAGCATTCACTATCTGCATAGGGTACAAACCTCAATTATTTATGTGCTTTAAATTCCTAATATTCAGAGTTGTTATACATTTTATTAAAGCTGCTGTAAGAAGGAATGTGTTTGTTGTTAGTCCTTTCCAGGCACACTGTCATTGATGACATGATAGAAACACTCTCCTTCCTCCTACTCTACAAGACAGGTTGGAAATTCATGAAACGAAATACCATTGTTTTAGAAGGGGAAGTAAAAGTTTTTGGAGGTACTCTCCATTGGTGGCACAGCACGTGGACACCTGCACTGCCATGTGGTTCTTTGCTTTTGTTTGCAAATTCAAGGGGTACTGAGCTGACATTGTAGTCAAGTGCTATGGAGGAGCCCCAAGAACAGAGGGAAAGTTTACCAGTGGCTCATTCTGGATTGGTGCTTTGCAGAAAGCCTGTGTCTTCTGTGGATGCTTGAGACAGTGAAGGTCAGTTTATTGACTGAAGATTTTCACTGCAGTGCAAAAACTGCAGTTTCAGTCTGAGCAGAACAATCAAGGGAATAGTGATATGTAACGAACAGCAGACAGAAGCAAGGCAGTGAATAGCAAAGATATGATGGAAAGATATCCTGGTTTTGTTCTTCCAACAAGAAAAATGAGGCCAACTTCTTCCATATCTATATGATATTTGATTATTCTTTTGTAGTTGCTGAGTTCTCTCTCCTGTGAGCAAAAAGAAAAGCAAAAGCAAGGCTGAGACTGCTTTTTACTGCCCCATGAATCTCCAGGAAGTCATTTCCGTGTTTTTTTGTAATGTGGAATTGTTTCAGTCACATGAAAAAGAAACCATGGGCTTTGTAGTACTGTGTTCAACTGAAATGGCAAAAGGTAAAATGTAAAAGAAGAAACAAACAGACAGGCAACGGAAGCGTACCTGCTGGTTGAGGCTGCTTACACAGACCAGACCTTCCTATATATATATGCCCTGACTCACATCTTGGTAGAGAAGATGCTGCTGCTGTTTCTCTCCTTGTTTCCACTGCAGCCCAGCTTAAATACTGGTAGTGTGAGTTGCATGACACTGATGACAAGCCAGAATTGCACACGTCACCTGAAGACGGCAGCAGGGAAAGGTTTCAGTCACAACCTAATGTCATGGGACAAACAGGGCTGAGAGCTGATGGTTCCTAGCTTTTGGTTTAGTGTGAGTGTCATGTAAAGGGAGGTGATTTGTCTCTTTGAGAGCCCGCTAAAGCCCTTGCTGTAGTGATGCAAGAAGTGTAGTCATGGATTGCTCCATTTCATCTTCTCACAGCTGATGGGTCACCTTAGGTGTGCTGTAAATGTCATTCT